TTCAGATTGGGTTTGTTTTTCACAGATATCCAAAGTTTTGTGATCTGGTTCCATCAGATAAAAACAGCCTGGTATGCACTAGATAGAGGAAACACCAAAAACCAACAGTAGAAAAAAGAAAACTAGTCACTCAAAGGAGCTGCACACATGGTCCTCATCTGGGCAAAATACCTACCAAGAGTTAGAATGACCAGTGGTGAAGAAACAAGACCCAAATGTTGAAAAATGGTTCTGCCTGCCATCTTTCAGCACTCACCATCCCATTAACAATTACTCTATAAAAACATCCTCATTGATAATCATGCCTTTAATTCATCATGTCATATAAAAAGAGAATTTTCTCCAGCAGGGATTCCAGTACAGGATGAAGCCTGTACTCACCCGTTCTCATCCATCACCTACTGTTCAGGATGGCCCTCAGGAGCACAACCATGTGAATACAAACAGGGTTATACTGGAGAGGAACAATGATGCTATCAGGCTGGTACCAGGATTGATACTTCCTATTTAAGAAACCACATTAATCATATATGTATTAAGTTCTGGTTTTTGCAAGACAACACTGATAATACACTATTACATAGTATATTATATATATATAGTACAGTATTGATAATATACTATTACATAGTATATATTACATATTACATAGTATATATTATATATTACATAGTATATATTATATACTGTGTAATAGTATTGATATACTATCAATACTGTTTGGGGTAGATGATCTAGAACTTGATAAACCAGGTCTAAATTTGAGTCTCAATTAAAGTCTGACCTTATTAACTCCCTAAGGTCTTCCAGATGGCTCTCTGTTGCAAATCTTCTCCTCTCTAAACATCATGTCTTCTTTTTACGTGTCTGTTTGACATTGCCCCTTGTGTGCTGGCCCATTTGCAAAGTATCAGCCCCTACATTTAAAATCCAAGAGAATTCTCTCCAGTGACTCATTACCCTCTCTATATTAAGTAGAGATCAAGAGAGGAGTCTTGCCTGGTGATATGCACAGCATTAAACAAAATGGCTCCAATCTTCCTGAACAGCTACTGTCTTTCATTAACTTTAAGCAGAAACAATGGCATGATGCCTCCTCCTATACTGAGACCATTGTTACTTTTTAATTAAATGGCTAATAGAAATTTAAAATATAATAATCTCTCAATGATAACCTTACCATTTAAGCCAAAATTAAAATTAGTTTATTTATTTTATCTTTCGGCAAGCCTTAATTTTCCATCACATTGAGACAAAAGACTCAAAAATACTCTCTCCAGGATACAAAAGGAAAATTTTTTCTTTCCATCCCTTACATTATTCTCTATTGCAAGTAGAAAGAAATACTGTTTAATGGCCTAATAATTTCAAGGAGCCTTGAAAATCATTTCTCTAAATCAAGAAGGGCAGAAACGTTTCACCACTATTATCCCTTCAAATGCATGTTTGGCTGCTGAGAATCTTTCTCTGTCTCCAATTGCATGCTTGCTCCCAGCCATTGAAGCTCTAAACTCACCACATGCAGTTCCCCATTGCTTGTGGTGATCTGCTTCAAGACCTCAGAGAAGCAAGATTGATAAACCTGGAAGATGATCACTAACAAAATAATCACCCCTAATTTACTACTCCCATTTGTTCTATACTATATTCTTTCTTCAGAAAATCATAGATGATCGAAAGATTAGCTGGTGCAAAAACTCATTTTATAAGACAGGAAACTAAGTCTCAAAGAGGTGATGTACCTAAGGGCATGGGTAGTTAGTGGAAGATTCACAATGAAGACAAAGGTGTCCTCTCATTCAGTGTTCTAGGCACTCTAATGCCCGGTCCAGCCTGCACTCTACCTCAAGAGTCTCGGATCAAAACCTGAGCCAGCTACCTCTGCAGACAAATGCAGAGGAAGAGCCCTCCCCACTGTGCACACACTCTTACCCTCCCAGCTGCTCTTCCAGGAGCCACAAGCTTCCAGCTCAAGCAAACATCTGGGAAATCAGCCATACTCAAGGCCAGACACACTCCACTCCAACCGCCATGTCAAAATGATTATTTTTACACTTTTATGAAAATCCATCTTGTTTTCCCATTCTTATTTTAAAGCAAGGGCTGGCATTTCAAAGCATAGCACACAGGCTGAATTACATAGGCACTAGAGGCAAGACTAAGGAAAACAGCTAGAGTTAGCTTCTCCCCCTTCAACTTCAGTCAAAATAATTGACAGCAAGCACATTCTCCTCTCCTTCGTTTTTGCCAGAAAGCAACAACAAGGAATCCTCCACTCCAGGGTGATCCAGAATAGGCTATAGCTTCACCACACTACATTCAAAAGGATCAGAATGCAGAGCCAAGGCACTAGACAACTCAGTAGGCTTTTGGGATGCAGGTGGGTTCTAAGGATAACATAGAAAATTCTGAACTTCTCAAATAGCATTATTCATACTGTCGATTAATCAAAATATTGAACAGTTACTATTTACTAGACGCTATGCTAAGTGATACAAAGACCAGTAAGACTATTTGTCTTCAGATAGCTTGCAATCTAGCAAGACATGACCTACAATGAAAACAAGAAACTCAATATGTAAATGAAATGCATGCAATACACAAGAAATATGCATGAACAGCCCTGTAACAGAGAGGGACAAGCAACACAAAAGTGGTCTGTGAAGACCGATGTTGTATAAAGGGCCACATTAGGCACCACAGGAGTCACAAAGATGAAGAACACACTGGCCTTGAAGGTTGACAGTAAAATCTAAACATGGAAATAAACACGTCTTACCCATAGCTTTTAAAGCGAAATAAAACACACTACAAAATGAAACAAAAGTCACTAGAGAGGTATGTGATGGATGAAACTATTTATTCCAACTGAAGTAATCAAGAAAAATCTCCAGACCTAGAAGACACATTTAAACAGGATTTTGAAGGACAAGTAGCATTTTGATAACCTGAGGATGGGGAAGGGCATTTCAGAGAAAATACCTTGAAAAGGGTGGGTAAGCTTTGAAAGAAGGCCTGGAGAAAAATCAGGACCCCATCAGCCCAAGTCCTGGGGCATGGTGGGAGGTAAGGCTAGAAAGGAAGTTACACAAACTCAAATAATCCAAATGCTAAGAGTCTTTTACACTTTATTCTGTATGCAAGCTAATGGCAGAAGAAAAGCCACAATGAGAGCCATGCATTGAGAATCATTATTGCGAGAATGTCAAAGATGGTCTGAGGGAAGCAATTGGGAAAAGCAGGCATAGCTCGTCCAAGTGGGTGAGAGTCTGAGTTAGACCTGTAAAAATATGATGTGAGAGACACTGCAGCTTCTGAGATTGCTGCCTGGTCATGTCTAGAGGAGGGGCAGGAGGGCTCACAGTGACTATTGTCTTGAGAAGTAGGTAGACAGTGATGCCAACATCAGGACCAAAGAAGTCACTTGAAGCTGTATCCTACTTCCTCTTCCATCTGTATCTGCTTCACCTATCAAGGATATCTACCATTATCACTGAAATTCAAGTGCTTATGGTCTCCCTCATTCATCAGTCAGGGTTTATCTGGCCATGAAACAGAAGCCCCTTGAGGCATTTGCGAAAGAGGGAGTTTGAGTCAGAGAACTGGTCACACTGGTAGTTGAGATTGCCATCAGCAAGAGGCTGTTACCATCCCAAGGCTGCAGGGACAAAGGGAGTGGAGTGGTCCTCCGGGAGACTGAGGAACGAAGCTCCTGCCTTCTTCCCACTTTCCAGTTTTACTCACCTGTCCCCCAGTTCCCCTTTGGCTGAGCCCAACTGAAATCCACCTGACAGGGGAGTTTGAGTAAGTAGCCTCCAGGGTCAGCCTTCTGAGTTACAGGTAGAGCAGGGCAGGGAGGAATGGATCTCAGGACAAACAGGTCCAGGATCCAGCAAACTTATTTTACACTCCAGCCATTGAGTTGGAACCACTGGCCAGCCTCTCTGAGTTAGCATGTAGAATATGGGATACCACCTGAGTATCTGAGAGGCATCATTCACCTCAATGGGGGTAGGGGCAGAGCAGGGTGACATCTAGCCAGCCACATCTACATCCGCTGGCCCTTCCTTGTGCTAGTCCTCTGTATTCCTAAGAAGGAGCTATTCTCAAGGACCTCAGTCCAAGTTCATCTTATTTAGAGTAGAGAGAAAAGAATAGCTAACTCCTTCTCTCTTTCCTTGTTATCACCCCTCATGTCTCCTCTCCCTTCTAGTTCTCATCACTCTCTACTCACCACTGCCCTCCTTTTCTCTATCTTCATCACCTATGTGCGGCCTCCACCCCCATTGTCAATTCTCTCCTCACTTTGCCCCGCCACCTCCCCTCACTCTCTCCTCTCCATCTTATTCCTTCGGAAGTACCGCATGAGATGGAGCCTCAAAATACCAAGTTGCTTAGTAGCATGCAGAGTTAGAACATGCTTTTAACAGTGAATCTCGTGTCTCTTGAACCTGGTTATTTATTCCTTGAGCAGAGTAGATACTCAACAAGAGAGTTGTTGAACTCAATTAAATAGGATATATCGTGTCATTATTATTTACTCTTTTTTTTAATATGATGGGAACTTGAGTAGTTTCTGGGATTGTCTCTACAACATCTGGCCAAGGAATCTGTGAGGAAAAGAAAGATCAAATGGAAAATCAAGGTGCATGACACCAGAAAACCTACATGTTATGTCAAACTTTTATTTCCCCATGAACCATTAAAATAGAGCATAGCTCCTCTGGCAGCTGTATATATGTTCATAAATACATGATACAAACCCAGAGCATATCCCCTTTGCTCAGCTTCTAACAAGTAAGAATGAAGAGAGGACATGGTCTTTAGGAACATGAGTTTCTACCTTCCATTTTCCTTCAGAAGAAGAGGTTCTATGACCTCATTTGGGGCGGAAATTTTAACCAAAATGGTGTCACCCCTGAACCCACTGCGACACATCACGTAAGTGACCACAGAAGGCAAAAAGCTCTATAAAAAGAGAGGTGATAGTGCTACATTCTGTCCATCTCATAGCAGGCACAAACTCATCCATCCCCAGGTGATTGGGAGAAGCAACGATGACTCCTGGGAAGACCTCATTGGTGGTGAGTCCTGCACTAACGTGCAATGCTCTTGTTGATTTGGACCAGATAATATTTCCAGACCTTAGGCATGAAATGCTGGGTTCTGACTATGGAGATCCAGGAATACTGTATATGTAGGATAGGAAATGAAAGCTTTGGTAGATATTTACGCCATTGTGTAGCATTTTCAAGAACTGATATATAGCAGTTTGAAAGATAAGATTAAAACTGAAAGATAGCTATATTGGGGCTAAACCACACAAGAAGTGTCACATGGTGCTGTGCAGTAAGAAAGAAAATTTATTGAAAGTCTGTTTTCCTGAGTACAAAGGATTTAGTATAATTGTCCCACGGCATTTTTCTTTAATCCTTTTTCTTTAAAATGGGTCACTATCCTTAAGATTTCGAAAGCCGTAGCAGCGACTTTGGTTCCATTGTCTCATACCGTATTCTCGATACATCGAAACTATGTATTCTAACTAGATATATGTATAACTGTGTTTTAGAATAAATGGGTTTATATTTTTTTCATATTTAACTTCAAGTATCTTTTTTGATATCTGATTATAGACTCGATACATGTTAAATTTAGACCAACTGGAAAATATAAGTAAGAAAACATGAAGGAGATCGAGTTTTTAGTTGGATGTCTGCCAGCAGCACCAACAGCATTTGTAGCATGATTATTGATACCACATAGATTTTCTACAGCTCTTTCTTTCAATGTGAATGTTTGGCTGCACATTGAGTTTCACAGAATGTGGGACTGAGAACAATGGTGCAGGAGATCACTCCTACCTCAAAAATCAAAGTCATTATTCTTTCACAGACCTGACAATGATGCATGTGCTGATAGGCTGAGGACATGGCATGACTTGACATTTTTACTAAAATTATTGCCAGCCAATGGATAACCTGTCTTTTCTAAGCCAAAAGAAGAATGTTGAAACTGGTTTTTAAAAAAATTTAAAAGCCATGGTGTTAACATTATGCTGGTCATCTACCTAGATTTTTAACTGATCTGAAAATGTAGTATAGATTGTCCTGGTATGTTCTCTATCATTAGCAATGCATCCTCATCACAATTAAATGTGTCAAAAAGAACCACATAGTAATCCAATCTCCAACTTCTCCCTCCTTTCCCATTCAATTCTAGTCACTGCTGCTGCTGCTGAGCCTGGAGGCGACAGTGAAGGCAGCAATAACAAGCCCACAAAACCCAGGATGCCCAAATGCTGAGGACAAGAACTTTCCCCGGACTGTGATGGTCAACCTGAACATCCGTAACCGGAATACCAATTCCAAAAGGCCCTCAGATTACTACAACCGATCCTCCTCACCTTGGAATCTCCAGTACGTAAGGGTTCCAGATTAAAATGCTATATTCTTCATCCTTCTTATGCATCAGACTGCTGGTTAAATCTCCTTAAGGATGGTTTTATTCATTTAGAATTACCAGTCAAACCTGGAAGGACCACTGTGCAGAGGAGTGATTCTAAAACTTTCTACATATTTCTTTAACAAAGCACAGGACAGCCTCCAATAATCTCTATCCTGTTAGAGCTAATTGTTACTGACACCAATAACCAATCCAAATTAATTATTCTAATATTTGCGAGACCCCGTCTATTGTTTATTTATTCAAAAAATAGACATTTATCAAAGGGGATTAATGTTTTTATTCTCTTAACCAGCACCACCATTGAAAAGATTTATTGCAAATAATTAGTAATTTGGGCGTTTTACTTTTTCTTTTTTGCATATTTTTGTTTTTGAATCCCAGTGGAATAAGTGTCACTGGGGTATTTCTACTCCTTTGTGTATTACATAGTCTTGATCTGCTCCCTAACACACCTATGCTTGCTGTGTCCCTAGTATACACAGTATTTAGACCCCATCAAGGGTTAGATACAAAATGTATTTTGATCATTTGACTTTATACAAATAAGTCTCAGTTCTGTGGAGCCTATAGATTGGTCTGATTGTAGGATTGCTTCTCCTCTTCCCATTACTAAGAAGAATCAAAATAAATCAATTCAAAAGTCAAAGCAAATCATTCACTCAGCTAAAAGAGAGAGGGAAGAGAAGGTTATAAAGACACTTAACATCAAGTCAGATAAACAGCTATCTTATTCTAGATGATTCCAAGTCTACTCTTCCTTTGGTCTTCTTCTGTCTGTCAAATATGCCCTAAAAGATTATCATTTGTGTCAAACTTAAATTCTTTCTGTGGTCTCAGTCTACCTTCTTTTATTCATTCTTCAAATAAATTGGGGGAAAACTGATCATTGTCTTCTTTTCTGTAACAATTCATGTGCTTGAAAAAATCCAAAATTGTCCCCAAAGTTCTTCTTCAAACTAACATCACTTAAAGAATTTGCAATGTCTATAATTTGTCACCCCGTGAACTTGCCTCTCTTCATGTATTCCTGTTTTATTTCTTTCCCACTTTACCAGAAATTCACCTTCCTTCTGATTTTTCTCCCCTCTGCAGCCGCAATGAGGACCCTGAGAGATATCCCTCTGTGATCTGGGAGGCGAAGTGCCGCCACTTGGGCTGCGTCAATGCTGATGGGAACGTGGACTACCACATGAACTCCGTCCCCATCCAGCAAGAGATCCTGGTCCTGCGCAGGGAGCCTCGGCACTGCACCAACTCCTTCCGGCTGGAGAAGATGCTGGTGTCCGTGGGCTGCACCTGCGTCACCCCCATTGTCCGCCATGTGGCCTAAGAGCTTTGGTTCAAATCCCACACTCCCCAAAGCAGTTAGGCTTTCTGGAGAGCTGGCCTGGCCCCTCAGGAACCCTCATCCTTCAAAGACATAGCCCCATTTCTGACTAAACTGATTAGAGTTCTTACAGCAGTTCATCCAATTGAGCCTTCAGAGGTAACGCTTGGCTAAGAGATGAGATCTGAATTATCTTTCCCTCTTTTCAAGAAGGAAGGTTTAGACTAAGTACTAGTTTGCTTTTTGTATACTTTTCTAAAGGCTTTAAGTTATTTATGTATTTAATATGCCCTGAGATAAATTTGGGATATAAGATTCCATTTTAATGGATTATCTACTTTATTTTGTATGTCTTTTTAAAGAAACAAGACTTCGGGCTTGGGAATTTTATTATTTAAAAGGTAAAACCTTTATTTATTTGAGCTATTTAAGGACCTATTTATGTTTAATTATTTAGAAAAAAGGTGAAAAAGTGTGATTATCAGTTCTGCCTAGGGAAATGCTAGATAGAATGAAATAGTAGTGGAAAATTTCTGAGTCTTTACAACATACAGATACAGCATTTCCTCCTCTTTGTCCTTTAAAAGTTAAAACATGGCTGAAAAGAAAGACTAAACCTCCTTTCATATTTATTAATTTAAATTTTGAAACTTGTTGAGGTTTTACAAGTGATACAGCAAGTCTAACTCTCTGTTCTGTTAAACCCTTATAATAAAATCCCTCTGTGATAATAAAGTTTGGTAAGAAAATGTTTCTTTATTCATTCTCATTAAATGTATTTTAGCAAACTCAGCTCTTCTCTATTGGGAAGAGTTACACAAATTCTCCTCTAAGCAAAACAAAGCATGCCTTTGAGTAACAATGACCTGGAATGACCCAATTCCAAGTTCTCGATTTCACAGGCCTTAAAGACTGACGACCAAGGCTTTCATACCATTAGCCAATGCTTTAGACAGAAGCATTTTGAAAGGAATTAATTAAATAAAATAATGGCCCTGAGGAATGGCATGTCATTACCAATATCATATGAGGAAAATGAAACTCTCCCCAAAATACAAGAAGTTCTGGGAAAACACATTGTTTTCAGACTACAACGTCCAGTCTGTCTCCCTGCACTCAGGCTTCCTTTGGAGATTAAGGCCCCTCAGTGATCAACAGACAAATATTTTTCTCTTTCTCAAGCCACACTCCCAGGGCCTGGCTTCTGTCTAATCAAGCACCCCACAACCCAGAAAGGAGCTGATGGGACAGAATGAACTTTAAGTATGAGAAAAGTTCAGCCCAAGTAAAATAAAAACTCAATCACATTCAATTCCAGAGTAGTTTCAAGTTTCATGTCATAACCATTTTCACCCCCATCACCCAGCGTGCTATCTTGCCCTACTTCTGAAGGCCTCTGGAAATTCTCAGGCCGCTCCACAGCCTCCCTGCTTCTTGAAACATCTCCCTTTTCACTCCGTCCTCCTCCATCCAGCATGCTCCAGCCCATCCAGAGGCCCACGGCTTTTCTCCGCCTCTTTCTCGGTTTGAAATCCAGGGGTTAGCTTCTCCAGCCACCTCCTCTCAGTGTCATTTTTTGCTCACATCTCGATTCCTGTGACCATCCCTGTCACCATCTTCCTACAGGAAATCCCCAGGCAGCTGCCAGGGATAGTTCCTCACAGCCTTTACGCTTTCAAGCTTCTCGCTGAAAACCTGCTCCTTGTTTTCAAGCTTTCCCTCAATGGTGGTGATGAAAAGAAAAAAACATTTTTGTTTCTGTTGGGAGAGGGGGTTGCAAAAATATTTATATATCTATTTCCCACTAGACATATATTTCCCACTAATACATAGACCTAATAATAAACCATTATTTCCTACTATATTTGGGGTGGGGGGCACTGGGGTGGGAAGAGACAGTTGCTTTCCATGTACCCCTCCCCTGATACACTTTGCTTTTATTCTCTCTTCATTTTCCCCAGCTAGCACTACCATCTACCTAGTCATCCAAGCTAGAAATCTATGTGGCTTCCCTGAATCTTTTTTCCTCTTCCTCTCCCTTATTCCTAATATCCACACATCACCAAATACTGTATATGCACTTCCAAAAATTCTCCAGTGAACCCCCTTCTCCCCACCAATACCATACTACCCAGGTTAAGGACTGCATCTATTTTCATTTCTCTCCCCCATGATTGCTACAACCTTCCACCTGTTTTTGCCGCCCTTGTTCCCATCTCTCAATCCATCCTCCAACCTGTACCTATGACGCAAATTCAAATATAACAAAAAGCGCCCCCCAGCAATCTGACCCTGCTCCCTCTCCCGCTCTCTCACAGGGTGCTTCCTCCCTGATGTTTGACCCTCTAGTCGTGGTGAACTTCTTGTGGTGACCACCACGCTATTCTTGGCCTCAATGCCTGTCCCTTCTGCAGTCCTTCTGCTGTGAGTGCCCTTGCCACTTTCTCTTTACTGTCCCTCTGGTCACATGCTGCCTTCCCCACACTGCCCCACCCCTATTGTTCCACTCACACTTTAAAACTCTACTTAAGTCTCATCTCTAAGGAGACTCCTGGACCCATCACTGCCTGTTATACTAGATTAGTCCCTCTCTTTCTTATGGCCTCCAAAAGCATTGTGCATATCCTTTATCACTGACCATACAAACTATATCAGCTTTACCTATTTAGCCAGTTTATGGTCCCTCAAGAGCAGAAACATCAGTACCTGACATGGCAGGTAGCAGTCAATACTCAGCTGAACCTTGAACCAATAGTCCATAGACACCTCCAAATCAACAGAGACACAACTAAACTCACTAGCTTTACTCCCATACTGGCTTCTCCTTCTGCTTTTATATCTACTGGAATGGCATCATCTACTCATCATCTACTGGAATAGCATCATCCCTTATTACCCTCATCCAATCAATGACCAACTCTTCATCAATGTCTCATGTGTCCTCACCTTCCTCGCTAACTCCAAGATTGCTATTGCAGTTGCATTATATTATGACACTAACTGGCCTCTCTGCCTTGATTCTTATATTTAATAATTCAGCATCTCTCAAATTGTAGGGGGGTCTAGTCAGAGTAAGTAATTAATACCTTCTGCAACAGACAAAGTCCAAAAAAAACAAAGGTTTGTTTCTTGTGCATGTTACAATCCCAACAGGGATCATCAGGGAGCTTTGCTCTACTTGGTCACTGAGAGACCCAGACTGACACAGAGGCTCTGACTTCTACAGCACCATCTAGCAACGCAATTTCTAATACTGGAGGCACTAGGCATTTGTAGCTATTGCGCATGCGGAAAGTGGCTAGTACCAGCTGAGTTGTGTTATGTGTAAAATACATACTAGATTTCAAATAGGTTTTTTTAATGTAAAATATCTTTTATTAATTTTTATATTGATAAATGTTAAAATGTGTTTGGTTAAACATATCAAATTTATTACAAATTCACCTATTTCTTTTTACTTTTTTTAATGTCTTTACAATAAATATACAGTTAAAATGTGGCTAGCATTGTATTTCTGTTGGATATGTTGCCAATGAAAGAAAAGAGAAGGCCAAAAACTATACATGCAGTGTTTAAGGGCCAATCTTATTGACCAGAGCTCAGTCCCACAGACCTAAATTAAACCCAGTGGAGACTGGAAAATGAAATATTTCTGTGTGTCCACGGAAAAGAAAATGAAATGGGATTTCATAAGTAACACATAGCATTACTCCTGCCATCACACATATGATGAATGAAGGCTCAGGCATGACATTTTCCCACAGTAATTCCAAAGAGCTGAGCTGTTACATGACGACTTTGTAGTGGAAAAAGGTCCAGGGTGCAATTAACAGTAGCAGTACTGTAGAAATAACCTTGAATCTACAATAATTTTTTTAAAAGATCCTTTACAAACTTTGGCAGTCAACATACTATAAAGCAACCCACATGTGACATACCTCACAACTAACTGCTACACACCTATGTTTTGAAATTACACAGCGATTGTCACTCTTCCATCTCTCCCCATGTTTCAAGAGGTCCTCTCTAAAATGTAAATCTCATCACATGAATCCCCTAATTACTGCTCAGTACCTCCACCATACCTATAAGATAAAGTGCCAATTCTCTTGCATGACGCAGAAGGTACTCTATGACCTGGCCCAGTCCACCTCTCACAGTATTCCAACCCACCATCCTCCCTCCCTGCCACCAGTATTAATGCCATGCCTAACTGATTCTCACAATCTGGGACTTTGCTTATGCTTCCTGCTTACCTGGAATAGCCTTGGTCTTCCCATTTCTCAGCAACATTAAGCTGATGAAAATATCAACACATTTTTAAAAATCAGATTAAGCAAAAAGGCATCTCTGGAGATGAAATTTGAGAAACTATTCTTAACAAGTTTCCTAGCTGATTTTGATGCATCCTCTCCAGCAGCCATCCATAGACCGGTCTCTGGGAACCACTGATGGAGAAGCCCCTTGAGAGGCTATCTCAGAATACAGATGAAGATCAACAAAGAAATAAATTAGTGATAAATATAAATTGGCGCTGGGTGTGGTGGTTCACACCTGTAATCCCAGCACTTTGGGAAGTCAAGACAAGAGGATCACATGAGGCCAGGAGTTTGAGACCAGCCTAATCAACATGGTGAAACAGTGCCTCTACTAAAAATACAGAAATTATTCATGTGTGGTAGCACACGTCTGTAATTCCAACTACTACAGAGGCTGAGGAACAAAATCTCTTGAAGCTGGGAGGCAGATGTTGCAATTAGCTGAGATCATGCCACTGCACTCCAGCCTGGGTAACAGAGTGAGACCCTGTCTAAAAATATATATATTATATATATTATATTTTATATAGAATATACATTACACGTTATTATATATAATACATTACATATTATACAATATATTTTATATAATGTACATTATATTGTATATTTTATAAATATATAATACACATTTTATGTTATATATTTTATAAAATATATAATATACATTTTATGAAATATATAACATTTTATATCCTAGCATATATATTTGTATTATGTAATATATAATATTTTATACAATATTTTATATATTTCATAAAATATATATTATATATTACATATTACATATTATATATTTATATAATATATACTTTATATAATATACTATATAGTTTATATAATATACTATGTATTTTATATATTTTTAAATAATATCTATTTTATATATTATATACAATTATGTTTTATATTACATATATTATTTAAATTATATGTATACATATAAATTGATCTTAGATAACAAAGATAAGGAGCAGAGATAAAATTATGTGAAAAACAGAAATTTCGAAAAAGAAACCTGAATAAATTAAGGAGACAATAAGGAAAGATTCAATGGGAAAAAATGATTCCTGGGTTGGAATTTTATTTAAGTACATCTGAAAACTAGGTTTAGACAAAATTAACTTTAAAAGGATATACCCAAAATATATTCAAACTTTTTAATTTTAAAAATAAAGAACATATAAGACTCATATTCAGAAGGAATATATCATATATCTAATCAGGAACCAAAATTATATTGACATCAGACTTTTTTACATAACACTGAGAGGTAATGAAGTAAAATTTTCAAAGCACTAAAGGGGAGAAAGTACAGGTCAGGCAGCATCTGCTCAGGCAAGTCTTCCTTGACAACCCAATGAATAATAAATTTGTAATATTTTACTGAGTTGTATACTTATGAGTTGTGTATTTTTCTGTATGTATGTAATAGCTTAAATTCTGCTTATGTTCGATGGCTAGCTTCGGGTGTCAACTTGACGGGATTAAGGGATATCCAAACAGCTGGTGAGATAATTTGGCTCTGTGTCCTCACCCAAATCTCATCTCAAATTGTAATCCCCACGTGTGGAGGGAGGGACCTGTTAGGAGGTGACTGGATCACGGGGGTGGTTTCCACCACGCTGTTCTCATGATAGTAAATGTGTTCTCAAGAGCTCTGATGGTTTCAAAGTGTTTGGCAGTTTCCCCTTCGCCCTCTTTCTCTCCTGCCCCCATGTAAGACGTGGCCTGCTTCCCCTTAGCCTTCCACCATGATTGTAAGTTTTCTGAGGCCTCCCCAGCCTTGCAGAACTGTGAGCCAATTCAACATCTTTCCTTATAGACCACCCAGTCTCACATAGTTCTTTATAGCAGCATGAGAACAGACTCATACAACTGGTGAAACGTTACATCTGGGTATGTCTGTGAAGGTGTTTCCAGAAGACAGTGGCACCTAAATCATTGAACTGAGTAAGAAAGATCCACCATCGTCCAATGTGGATAGGCACCATCCAATCGGCTGAGGGTGCCGATAAAATTAAAAAACAAAAGAA